TCATTTTAACTTCTAACAAGTTCTACAAGGACGGGAAATCGATCTTAGTGGATCTGTGAAGTCAAAAGATCATTCGTGAGTTAGCAACGTGAGCTACAAAGAATCGAAAAAAGCTTATCCGGTATGTCATCATAATAAATTAAAAGAAGACAACACTATAAAATATGTCCTATAAAAAATTAAACACCACTAAATCTTGAAATTGTAAAAATTGAGAAGTACACATTTTGAAATACAGAAAGTAGCAAAAAGGTCGATTAATGATATCGATTAATTTATGCCTCATGGTAATATACTAGTTATTGTTATCTTTTTGGTAAGGTGTTGGTTTTTTGTTTTTCTTTTTAATTTGTGTTTTTCTTGGAAAAGTTCTTATGATAGGTCTATTTATTTATTACTGGCGCATTTCTTTACACTTTCAGTTACTTCGTAAATCATCTGGATAATGACTAGAATTGTTCATTTGAAGTGGCTGGTTTGATATTTGTTTCGACATTACTGCAACTCAAATGGGTGCGCTTGTTTTTCTTTGCTAACATAAAATCGAAGGGAACTTCTCCCTTCCAGCATTGTGCCTCAGGTGTGGCTTTTACTCTTTCTTCTTCTTCTCTTTTCTTTCTTTCCTTGTTCTTTTGGTAAAAGTGCACCAGCAAAAGTAATTTAATATACGATTGGTTTCTCAACAAAAGAAAAAAAATAAGTAGAAGTATGAAACCCCAAGGGGATGACCGAAGAAGGTCTCTGTTGAGAATAAAAAGCAAGTATACTTTACTGCGCCGCAATGTCCGCGTTGAGGTTTGAGGGATGGTTGCTGCATTTAGAGATGGGAGTTACACTGAAAAGTTGTCGGTTGTTTTGTCAGAGAAAATCTGATAACTGACGATTCACAGTGGGTTCATTTAGGCCATTGCAAGCTAATGCTTTTCAAGGCTAAGAAATTTTCAGCCTTTTTTGACGTCAGAAAAAAACAAAAAAAAAAAAAACGGGTGTTCCTCTCTGTGATATGTCGGACCCATGTTTATATCTAAAGAAGAAAAAAATCAAATTAATTTAAAGATGTAAGAAAGTTTCGTGGAGGTGATCGTTCACACCCTCCTAGGTACTTATTTATTAAATAAAAGTAGTCAACACAGTTTAAAAGAGATCTCCCGAACAACTTCCCGACAGCACCCAAATTAATTAAATGATGCAAACAACAATAATCAATTAGGAATAATTTCATATGGCGTGTATCTGCCGGGACTGCGGGGCCGAATGGCGACCAGAACTGCAATACTGTAACTTCTACAAAACATATGGGGCAGACAATGGGAAATTGAGCTCTATTTGATAAATGGCAGGCTCATCAAATATCTCTCTGCAGTTACTCAAGCTCTTCCTCTTCTTTCGTCACACAGGACTTGTAAACTTGCCACTTTTGCCATAATTATCTCTCCTCAAATCGAAAAAAGGGGCTGTAAGCCATATCACGTTCAGCAAAAAGCTGTTTTAGTTGAACAGTGTTGTCAATAACACTTTTACTAAAACAATATTCCACGACGTAGTATATGACAGCTACACAAATCCAATTAAGATCACAACACGTAAATCTGAAGTCAAAGCAATGTAAAGAACAAGAGCAATAATAATAACAACTAACACAAGAGCACCACTAAAATTGATGATGATGATGCTGAAAATACAACAGCAGTAATGATAATAACACTTATGTGACTTAAAAAATAAAGAAATTGAAAATGTACAGCTTGTAGAGAATCATAATACCTACCTAAAGATTACTTACTTTAAAGTTGTAGCCTCTGTGTGCATTCAGGAGTCTGCCATTAATTAATTATTACGTTGACTCTTCTGAACGCTTGGTAATACTCAACGACCAGATAATACTCTTATTCCCTTACAAACGAGTATCGGGTTTTCTCTTTATCTACCGTCTTTCCTTTATTTGTTTTCTCGGATATTGTTGACTTGGTTTATATCCCACTTTATTTAGACAACGGAAGAAACTAAGGCGACTATATCTGAATTTCAAAATTGAGAGTTAGAGTACACTTTCATAAATAATTCATTCTGAATAGAGAGAAGCTTCAAAATTTTCCATCGGAAAGAAAATAGCGGATGAACAATGAATATTATCTTGGTGTTACTTATATATCAGTCTGTGGGAACTAGTGCAATTATATTTAATGTTTAGTTTCTTGACCGTTCCATTTCAGCGATAATTACTGGAAATTGTATTCATCAGTGAAGTCTATCAGACTAAAATTAATCTTGGTAAAGGGTGGGCAGATATTTTCAATAGCAGTACGGTCAACTTATTTTTTCAGGCACCTGAAAAACTGGTTTCCGCATGTTGTTCAATTTTTAGCCTCAACCTTGGCTAGTTTTTATACGAACTGACACATGGTTTTCCTGGTTCATGAATGGGCATCCATCTATAAAAGTGGGGAAGTTTCCAATCCTTCTTCTGTAATGTGTGACATTCCTCTCCGTTCTATCAGAA